CTACAGGCAGATTAATTTTGAATTTTTACGTGGCCATTTACCAGCCAGTCTTCCTGGCCATGTTTTGATGGTTCATTCCTGCCTTGGAAAATTAGAGAAAAACTAGTGTCAACTTCATATATGGACATCTGTAAGCTCTCCTACACCAGGCCCTGTGGAGAAACAGAATTTATGTACCACAAATCTGTTGAACAGTTGTCTAAAAGATGCAGAGCTCTCCCATGGGTTATGTATGTGCAGGTGCAGAGCCCCTCCTGGACTGGGACGGAGAGTTTGGTGTGAACATCTGGCTTCTCCATCACTGCTGGGACTTTGAGAAGCACTAAGCATCCATCACCCATGGGTGAAATCACTCTGAACTGCAGAGTGTTTTGTCACTCTGAAGCCAGGGCGTTTATTTATGTCCCTTAGTACCGAATTACATGTGAACATTTTAATCTCTTTATTCTAATAGCCACAACTTTTCATGGTATGAAACTAAGATAACAAGCATGTCGGAGACTGTTTTCATGTGTTGTTGTCTGTGAGAACAACCAAAGCTTTTCCAGCATCTTCTTTAAGGCTTCTGTCCTTATGAACCGCAAGGCTTTAGTAATAAGCATTTGTATTTCAATTTCCTGTATGCCACATTTATTGTCATTATTTAAGATCATAACACTGTCTGTACCAGCTCAGATTGGCCTGTGTGGCCCAGTAGCCTGTGTCCAGCTGTGCCCATCGTCCTGACCTGGGAACCACTGATAACGGTGGCTAGTTGTGTCTGTCCTGGTCTTGAATGGTTTTCAAGGTGGTACAAAGTGGTACATCACCTCCAGTGCTGAATTTTCGCTCATTTTTGGCACTGTGGCCTAAATTTCATTGTCTGCAGAAAGCCAGTATAACAATAAACCTCTATTTATATCTTAGTAGAGCTTAATATCATAATAGAGCCACCCAGTTACACTGCTGTGGATTTGATTGTGTCTATATTATTAATTGGATTTGACCTAAGACTGAAACCTAGGTTGTGCTGAGGACTCTTAACTCCCATTATTTTATATGTTGTCTGGAGAAGAGGAGGCTGAGGGGAGACCTTATCACCCTCTACAACTGCCTGACAGGAGGGGGTAGTGAGGTGGGGGTCGGTCTCTTCTCCCTGGTAACGGATGATAGGATGAGAGGAAATGGTCTGAAGTTGCGCCAGGGCAGGTTTAGATTGGACATTAGGAAAAATTTCTTCACAGAAAGGGTTCTCAGGCTCTGGAAGGGGCTGCCCAGGGAAGTGGTCAAGTCCCCATCCCTGGAGGTATTTAAAAGATGGGTAGATGAGGTGCTTAGGGACATGGTTTAGTGGTGGGATGGCAGGGTTAGGTTAATAGTTGGATTTGATGATCTTAAAGGTCTTTTCCAACCTAGTGATCCTATGATTCTGTTTCTAAACTTCGGGGTTAAATAATCTTTCTGACTGAAGTGATATGCTGCATTTTCAGGAAAGCTGCTGAAGCAATAGGCACCCATTTCACGTTTCTTTCCATAGATCTATAATTTTAACTTGTGATATGCCCTGAGCTTTTTTCCAAGGTCAAGGCTGATTTTTGCGTGGGAACAACATGGTCTGTGTCCTGTAAAGAATATGAGACTGATGTTAGGGTGATGCTGCCAGCTCTGAAGAAATGCTCAGCTGGGCTTTCTGCATCTTGTCTCTGAAGCACACAGATCTAGAAGTGTGCCATAGTCATGCCTATTTTAGAAAGCAGCAAACAGCATGAGCTGCAAAGTTAAGTTGGCAGAAGAAGCCTGGCTGTTAAGCTGAAGCTGCCAGAAACTTCCATAACGTTGGTTGGGTACTTGCTTGATTTCCCCATCCTGTTACAAATTAGAAAAAGGCAGCTTCTCAGAGCCTTTCTAAATACAAAGGTACTTAATATTTTGGGGGATGTATAGGAATGCTATATATTGGAGGCAGTCCCAGCTTCAGTCCTGGTAATTTTGATCTCATACATGTGTTTCCTAGGTGCTGCAATGATGTATTTAATAGAGTGATGGGTGCTTTCATTACAGCTGTTTGCACTGTGGACATCAAACAGCTCGCTGGTTTCAGTTCTGAAATTCATCTTTAATTCTAGTTATTTGTTTAAGCTATTTTTATGACACTGTCTAGCTTATAGGGTCAAATTCAGTTGCTCAACCATCTAATTTTCTACTATTTCTCTGTATAACCTGTTGTTTTCACTCCCATACCTCAATATGGAATAGTTTGCAAAAGCAGAGCTGTCTGACCTCAAGACAATAAAAGATAATGAACCTATTGCTTCTCCTGACGGTCCATTTCTGTACTAATCACTCTGCTTGCTTAGAAAATCCTCTACTGGTTTATTTTTTTTTTTTAAATTAAAAAATCATTATTTATTTTCTCTCATTGAACATGTTTTCCATCCGTGAACCTGTGAATGTCTTGTAAGGGGTTGAGCATCCTCTGTTGCTGACAGAGACCTCAGCGGTGGGTAAATGGCAAACCCTGACATGCCAAAGCAAGCTTCCTACTCTTGGCCTGCCCTGGGGCTCCGTGCTGTGGATCCGGGAGGCGGGTGATGACTCTTGTGCTGGAAGCTAAAGGGCTGCAGTTTAGCAGGTAGCCACCATGAATTTGGTAGGGAAGTGATGGTAATTATGCTATGGAAAAAAAAAATATATGGAGAGTATTTCCATTGCATTGATCCTATGGTACTGTGAAGAATGAACAGTTACCAAAGAACTTGTATTGGTCACAGGCTATTTGGCATTTCAGCCTGACAGCTATGTGTAGCACTTGAGCTGTAGGGAGGGAGGATTTTGGATGGACAGTAAGAGCTACACATCCAGGAGAGCTGCTGTCCTCAGCCATGAATGAGTCGCCCTGCATGTTTCACTCCTTTTTGTCTCTTGGCCGCAATCTCTTCCGCTGCTTCTGAGATGAACGTTGCATCTTGCTGTCAGTGTTGAAGTGTCTTTTTAGCAATTTATTTAGAATTTTTGTTGTACACTTCTGTGTAAGCATCCTAAAATGTTATCTCTTAAAGAAATGATTAATGCAATAACAAATTGGAAAATAGGGTAATTGCAGTTAGATTAATATTCCCTTGTATTTCATCTGACTGTGATTTATGTTGTTTGTAAACTTTTGGGAGGAGATGCTGTCTTTGGCTTTGTGTACTATATAAATAACGTACTATTTTTAGTCCCAAGCTGAAAGATAACATCTTTAGGAAAATTCTGCCGTATTTTGCAGGAAATGCTTCCTTTTTTGGTAGGATGCATCACTCTTCACATTTATGTTCTGTGATGTCAGGGTTTCTTTTTGTAGAATTTCATTACGGTACTGTTGGTGCTGCGTATTTTTATAAATACATTTAGCTTTTTAATAGTATTTTTTGTCAATTGACTGCAAAGCTCTCACAAGAGAAGGGAATTTCCTTGTACGTACAGGAGAACTGAGAAGATATTTGTGACTTGTGTTTGGTAGCATTAGTCAAGAGGAAAAGAATTTGAAATACCAAAGTCTGAATTGAATGTTGCATCCGTTAGGCCACTCTGGCTTCAAATGTATAAGGCTTAATACATTTTGGGTTATTCTTGGCATTGGCACGAGTGGCTGACATTTGTCTGCAGAAGTAAGGCAGGACAACGAAAGCTTAATTTGTTTGCCATCTACCACTAAGTTTTGAAAAATAGTATCTGTCCTTAGCTTGTCCAGCGGCTTAAGGAGGGAAGATTTGGGCTTGTAAAAGCTGATGGCAACAAAGCCAGTTTTCTGCTGTAAACTCCATGCCCCAGGCAGCCTAAATGTTCCCCCCCCTTGCTTTTTGTTTCTCTCTGGATCATATCCACGAGGAGATTTTGTTCCAAAAAGAAATCAAGGTTGCAACTGATATCACCCATTAGATAAGACTGCACATGTAAAAAACTTAAATATATTTATATAACCCACAGGAATGTAACCCTTGAAAATGTTTTTTTTTTTAATTTTACGTGGTAGGAAAAGGCTGCACGTACGGGCACCCGAGCTGCAAGCGTGCAGCCCCACCAAGGAATCTGCAGCCCGCGGTGACGCCTGGCCCAGCAGACCCTGGCCAGCAGCTGCCACTGTCACTTGCCAGTTCTTTAAAGCTCTTTCAAGGTGACGTAACGTGGCAAAGAGATGACATGCAGCTCTTTCCTCTAGAGGCAGGCTTAAGTTAGTATTTTCCCCAAAGGCCAGTGTTACAGATACGTGCAGAAAAGTGGAAAAGGCCCCGCTTTTCTCTCTGCTCGCCCATCTCCCTTTCCCAGCTGGGTAGGGAAGCTGGGGATGGAGGCAACTTTCCAATTTCTCAATTTCTGCAGCTTCCATCAGTCATGATCACATGAATACAATAGGTAATTTGGAAAATATTTGTGATCCGTTCCAGATCAGACCAATAATGCGTGTCAGCTTTTGTATCCCCTGGGGACCTGAAAGCTTAGTTATTGGGGTGAAGATTATTTTGGTCCTGAGGGCTTGTACTGCGTCAGGCTGGTTTACTGGCTACATTTGTCTAGGGAAAGTGGACCTACTCCAAGCCACACAGAGCACTTCTGTTCAAAAGACATCGAAACAACGAAGTTCATATTAAGAAAAATCTGACCGAGGTGCACCACGCTGATTGTCCCCTAATGCTCCCTGTATGGCAGCATCAAGTTCCCATATTCATGTCTTTGTCATCAGGTTTTGATCATTTCCATGTTCCAGAAGAGTGTATATTATAGATTATACTGGTATAATTTAATACTAGGGGAAAGAACATCTACATAACGAGAACTGTGCAAATGAGGCGCAGAGCAGATGGGCCACACCAGGGGTGTCTGCTGGGGACCAGTGCAGCACCGGCACAGGGTGGTGATGAAGAACTGCATTGCTGAACAAACTCATTGCAACTTTTCTGCCGTTTGAAGCCTTTTTCCAACGCCTGGCCTTTGTTCCAGGGGTGGCTGACCAGCGGGTTGTGCCCCTGCCTGTCGGGCGTATGGGTGTCTGCAGTCTTGTTGGTGAGGAGTGGTCATCTGACCACCGTCAAGTTGAGCAGGCCTGGCGTAAAGAAGAACACGGGCAGGTATTTCTTTGCAGAAGATCCTCAGTATCGTATAGTCATGGGCTTTAGCTGGGCTTCAGACCACAGAAGCGTATGTTTGAGAAGCTATATTTTGAAAAGCGTACTCCAAAGCTTGTTCAAATTTGTTGTTTATTTTAAGGAGTTTATGAGGGCTATTTTCAGCGTTGTTGATGCGGAGCCACTGATGAAACAGCAGCCAGCCCTGCAGCCCCCACGGGGAGCGCCTGTCAAAATGTGCCGTGGCAGAGCCTCAGCGTAAGGCGCTGGCAAGTTAAATTCGTCTTGCGTGTGCCCAGAGAGTCTCAAGAAACCAGAAGTGCTAATGCTGGGGATGCTGACTTATCAAAGGAGCGCAGCTACATGCAAGAGGATTAATTTTACTAATACATGCTTATAGTTTGTCAAGCTAGCAAGGTTCCGCAACAACTGATGCAAATCCACAGAAGAGTTAAATTTAGGAGGCATTGAACTGCGCCTTTAGTTTGAAATGGACGTTATTCATTCTTATAGCTTAGAATTCCTCATTTGTAATGCTCATCATGATGTTTTACAAGTTTTTCTAAAATTGATTCCTTAAATGTTTTTGAGATTAATAGTTTTCAGATTCGAGACTAGGTACGCTCTTTGTTACCTATAGTCCCATTGAAGCATAAGGACCTGCATACCAATATAAGAAATAAAACTTCATGTTGCAGTTATTAATCACTTCCCCTTACCTTAGGATTGAAAACTTGAAGAATCTTTCTTTGAAAAGTTTGATTCAAATAAGAATATTTTAGATTTCGGAGATTTTTATTGATGAGATTACTCAGAGACCAATTCCAAATATGGCTTTGGTCAGCTTTTTTGTGCAGCCATAGATACTAAAATGCTATTCCTGAAAGTTGAAGCCCCAGAGCTCCCTCAGCTACGAACTATTGTGCTGCCAATCATTAACGGAATACGTTATTCTGGAAGTTCACATCTGTGTTATGCCATTTAATGCAAATGAATTTTAGATAAAATATGCTAGGACCTTAAATGTTTATTTGAGATAATAGTTCTGTTTATTCAGCTTGAGGAAACTGAAGGTGAAGTTAAGAGTATGCCTAAAAAAAGTAGGTAGGAAGCAAGAAAACAGGTTTTATTTATGATTTAAAATAAAATCAATAAGCAAATAGGTCTAGAATAAAATCACAAAAGATTGCTGAAGGTTGCTGCACTAGTACATTAACATACTAAACTATTTGGAGTGTGACACATTTTACACATCAGAATTAAACAAACAGCAGCTTAATCCGTTAAGTCATTTCAGTGACATCTGCTCTGTCAGTTGCCTACGGGCTGGAAAATTAAATATTATGGCAAAAGATACACGGACGAATCCAGCAGCTTGGGATTTGCTCCAAGTGGTGGAGAGCTGGGGGCCAGTTTTGGGTCCCTTGACACCAGTCACGTTGGTGAGATGCCTTTAGCCCCTGCCTTGCTTTGGTAGGAGATGCTCAGCTGCGTGCCTTGTCGCACCATCCTGTCTCTCCCACCACAGCAGTAAAATTGGTGAGTAGGACAAAGGGACCATTTCTGGTGTTTCCGAGAGGAATATCGCTTGCTGTGGGAGTATTTTTTTCTTTTTTTTTTCCCTAATATTTGTCCCTGTCATTGGGCTACACCAGTGAAGTGAAACTGCCCTGCTTACATCTGCTCTTCCCAACACCCTGGGAAGGTGGCTTCACAGCAAAATTCGTGTGATCGGTGTTCTTGCTCCAGAGCAAGGAATTGTAGTGTATCTCTAGGACTTTATCTTAGACTCACAGAATGTTTTGGGGTGGAAGGGACCCCTAGAGGTTATCTAGTCCACCTCCTCTGCAGGGAGCAGGGACACTGCTAACCAGAACAGGTTGCTCAGAGCCCCGTCCAACGTGGCCTTGAATGTTTCCAGGGATGGGGCCTCCACTACCTCTCTGGGCAACCTTTTCCAGTGTTTCACCACCCTCATTGGAAAGAATTTCTTCCTTATATCTAGTGTGAACCTACCCTGCTTCAGTTTAAAACCATTGCCTCTTGTCCTGACACAGCTGGCCCTACTAAAAAGATTTTCCCCATCTTTCCTACAGGCCCCCTTTAAGTACTGGAAGGCTGCAATCAGGTCTCCCCGCAGCCTTCTCTTCTCCAGGCTGAACAAGCCCAACTCTCTCAGCCTGTCCTCATAGGAGAGGTGCGCCAGCCCTCGGATCATTTTT